CGTTACTGCGTTGCTTCGATTCGTTGCTTCCATTGCTTCGATTCGTTGCTTCCATTGCTTCGGTTGTTGCTTCGGTTGTTGCTTCGATTCGTTGCTGCAATACTGCGTTGCTTCGATTCTTTGGTCGCTTCGGTTGCTGCTTCAGTTGCTTCGACTCGTTGCTTTTGATTTGTTGCTTCTTCTTTCGATTCGTTGCTTTCGATTAATTGCTTCAGTTGCTTTGGTTGCTTCATTGCTTTGCTTCATTGCTTCGATTCATTGCTTCGATTCGTTGCTTTGCTTTGTTGCTTTGCTTCGTTGCTTTGCTTCGATGCGTTGCTTTGCTTTGCTTCGATTCGTTGCTTTGCTTTGCTTTGCTTTGCTTCGATTCGTTGCTTTGCTTCGATTTTCTTCATTAAAATAGTATGTTAACTGTGACTGCTTTTTCTTGTTAGTAGTATTGTTAGTAGTAACTGTGACTGCTTTGTTGCTTGATTGCCTCAACAAGAGGAGCAAGTTGAATAGCTGATAAGAAGATGTCCATCCATCCCATTGTCATGATCGTCGGTTGTTGAGAATTACGTTCACGACTTGCTTTTTTTTCTGTGGAAATTCTATGGAAATTGTCTTGTCGAAAATTGTGAGAATATTTCTCTTCAACTGACACCCATCAGTTGAGGGATTTCGAGACTGTGCTGGTGAGTAGGATAATAGCGAGGTGCACGTACGTAGACTTGTACATGATTCTATACTGTTGCAAAATTTGTTGCATTATTGATTGGTACCAACACTGTACTGCGCTTGTACTTGCGTACCATAGTACGCTAAAGTAGTACTGGTAATAGTAGATAGAATAAAGCGTATCTTCTCGAAAAGGATCAAAAACTGAAAGGAAGTCTAGAGGTATTTCTACAACTACGGCACCAACTTCTTCACTCGTTAGCGCAAGAACGGACGGATTGATTGCCCTGTGTCAGCCTCGCAACAGCCGGAATCGAACATGACGTCGTCTTCGCCCTTGGAGCCCAAGTCACTGACCAAACTGGAATTCGAGGACGACGAGCAAATCCTCAACTACCACGATGCCCTGATTTACGGATCGGATCTGAGACTCTTCGAGACACGAACCGAATGGCTGAACGACTCGTGCATCCATTTCGTCTTTTGTCTCCTGCAGCAGGAACGACAAGAAAAACGAGGTAACCCACCGTCGCCCTCGTTTTTGTTCATGGATCCATCCGTCGTTTCCTTCTGGATGCACCAATGCGTCGACCCCGACGAGATCGAAGACTTTGTTGCGAACACCAATTTTCCCGGCCGCGTGCCAGGAACCCAAACGAACAACGATAGCAGCGAGAGCGGAGGACTGATCTTTGTTGCGGTCAACGATACCATGTCGACTTCTTCTTGCCATAGCAGTGCCAACTCTTGGAGAACTCCCAACAGCGGCAGCCACTGGTCCCTGCTCGTTGCAGAGGTTTTTGTAGGCGATGGGTTGAGGGAACACGACTGCAGCAACTCCAAAGATTCGACAGACAATCGCTCGGATGGAGTGAGCGCATCCACAGCTGCAACCTCCACAATAGAACTCTCGTTTTGGCATTTCGATTCGATCCGCAACAGCGGAAACATGCAAGCCGCGGAAGACATTGCACGAAAGATGCGAATGAACGTCTATCCAGGCGCCAGGGTCGTCACGGAACAACGAACGCGAACGCAAAATCCCACCGGTAGCCCCGCCGACGCCACCGGCGCACAACTGGTCCGTGCCGCGGAAACGCCCCAGCAACAAAATGGATACGATTGCGGCGTGCATGTCTTGGGATCGGCGAGGATCGTTGCGGCCCGCTATCACGGTCGGTGCCACTCCGCATCGCCGGAAACAAAGACGCCGGTCGGTCTTAGCAAGAAGCAAAGACCCAGCACGACAAGGTGTACCCTGGAAGAACTGGAAGATTTCCTGCGGGAGGAAATTGGGAAAAAGAACAATTCGCAGGAATTTTGTGCCAAGCTCCGAGCCGAGACTTCCTTCGAGATTCGCAAAATCGCTTTCACGAGAAAAGAAAGGTGACCAACTAAATTGATCACAGAGATCAAGGTCACCAACTTAAATTGGTCACAGGCATGAATAAAAATCGTATGCAGTGCGAGTATCTGCAGAAACAAATACTCTGAAAAGCTGCGAACTCCGGTAAGCACGGTAGTGCCAAGATCACATTGACGGCGCAATCAAGAACTTGGGTTGTGCCAATCGTCTACAAAAGTCTGACCAAATAGTAGAAGCCTTGAAACTCTAGGGCATAGCAGACTATTTCGTTCTTTCGAAGACAATTCGAAGCAGAAGATTCTCTCGAATGTTAAGGCAATATAGACTGCCATAAAAAGTATGGATTTGTCAAGAGCGGTGAAAGCACGGTGTCTAGTTGGTCGAGTCTGCGTATGCTGTTAATTCCTAGCCAAGTTGTGTCGATGTCTCTTACTTTTATAGCACGCAGCATGGCTTCGATTCTCGTCGCCACCACGGATTGGAGGCTAGAGATATTGCAAACGATGCGTGTATCTTACTGTGCAGTACGTTGATGAACAGTGCAACTCGAACGAATGGCGTGCTGTGATCACAAAATTGTAGACGGGACCGAAAGATTGGGTGGAACCTGCAGCACAACAAACGAGCTTGATCCATGGTACCATGGTTGTGATTACTTTCATTTGCAACCAATGACAGAAGAGTCGACACCGAAGCAAATCTTCATTTCGGAACGTACGGTACAGTACTCGCGAATCTCGATCGCCGAAAGAACATCTGTTTCCGGAATGTTTGCACAGAAAAAATTGTCTCCGGCCCAAAGTGAGCTTAGTGACCACTACTTCACCCTCTACCGTACTTTTTACTTCTGCAAAAGTAGATCTATAATGGTATTCACTAAATACTTTAATGTTGATAGCAATAATGAATGGGGATGCCGCTTGTCTCTTCGGGTTGATTTAGATTGATTAATGATCTACCCTCATCAGCTTGTGCGAACGTATTTGACTGCCTTGTGTTGATTTCAAATGCCAAGCTTTGTCAAAAAAAGAAACGAGAGATAAACTATAGCTACACAGCAACTTATACCTTATCATTGATAGGCTGGCGGATGTTTACTCTTCATCGTCTCCGGCGGCCGCTCGGGAGGCAGCACGCTTCTTGGCAACACGTCCGGGAGGTCCTTGTCCGTAAGGAGAGTTGACGGAGAAATCAATGTGCTTTTCGGAGGAAGTTCGAACGTTGAAAGAAGGAACGGTAACCAATTGAGAACCGACACGGATGTGACGCTGTCGGATCAAGACACGGGCGTGGTGGATGGACTTGGCAAGGCCTTGCTTGTAGACCTTGGTCTGAAGTCGGCGTTCCAACAACTTCTGTGTCGTCAACTGAAGGACGGCATCGAGTTCCAACTCATCGTCGGCCAACAAACCGTAACGGCTCATTCGACGGAGAAGGGCCTGTCCCTCGAAAATACGCTTGGGGTCCTTAGGGTCCAAGGTCAACAAGGTACGGGCAGACTTTCTCAGTTTGGCGAGTGCGTACTGAACACGCCAGATCTCACGCTTACAGCGGAGACCGTACTCTCCAACCAATTTCAACTCGGCATCAAGGGTTTCCTTTTCGTAAGGTCGACGAGGAGTCGTGAAGGTTTTGCGGTCTAAATTGAAGAAAAACAAAGGAAAATAGTTGGTCAGGAAGATTGTTCAACGACGTCGGTCGCTCGTTGGTCAGAGTCAGGACTTGCTTCATTCCATGGTATTTGTGAATCTCTAGCTTGCTTCCAGTCGGTTTCAATTGAGTTCAGACTAAGAGCTAAACTGCTGTTGAATCCAACCTCCTTCAGCTTTTGAATCTTCGGCAACTCCCAGTTCATCGGCACAACTTCTCAACCACTTACAGTTTCGGTGAATAGCGTTGGTAGGCATGATTCAAGTATATTGCAATTAATTCTTTTACGGCTAGGTTGTATTACTAGAGTATGGATGTTGTTGCGTTAGACTGATGTCTTTGGTGGGGTACCTGCAAAGGAAGGAGGATGCGGCGGATGCTGCGATAGGTGAAGAGTAAAGAGAAATGCGAGTCCTGTAGTAGAGGGTGTTGTCGTTGTTTGATTGAGCTAGCAGCATGTACAAGAGAGGCTTGGAAAGGAGAAAATACACGCAAGATTCGAGCAGTCAGTCACAGTAAATTGAGTACTACTAGAAGGTGTACGCTTCTACGGACTTTAGTAAACGAGGATGAGGTATTTTCGGTATGATTCAAGCGCTACCGCCTTACTATTTTTTGGAAAATTCAATTTTTGACTCAAACGACTCGTTCTCCTCCCCAAAAATTCTCAAGAATTCTTGTGTCATGTCACGTTTGGAAATTCGAAAATTCTTTCGAATTTTCGATCGAACTTTCAAATCATCCAATTTCTGATCTCATTTAGTAGTACTTCGATGTTTCTATTGTATTCGCGTTGTAGAGTGTGATACCAATGTTTTATTTATGATGCCGCAATTCCAATTGAATCACAAATCGTGGTGTCAATCATACCACACGGTGAATCATTTGTGACATGCGGAATCGCTCCAAGACAAATTTCCTGAACTTCTTGGGTCGAAAGAATTCAGAATGATTCCTGTTGATACGATTAAATTGATTCCGATCGAACACTGACATTACATCATTTCAATGTTCGACCTACACTTACCACCTTGAAGCAAAATGGCTATGCTGTAGTAGTGAAGGCATTCATTCTCGGACAGTACCGTTCCCAATGCATCGAGATCGACTTGGTCGATGAGCAACAATGGGCTTCTCCACTACACCCTGATACCGAAGGAGACAACGAACGGAGATTGGAAATCGTAGAACGATTCATACCATGTTGCCAATTATACCAGAACAATATTCGTTATAACCAAACGCAGCCCTCTGATACGTGCAACCAAAATATGGAATCGTTTGAATGTCGAAGAAAATGCAACGTAGCAAATATTTTTCGAGCTTCCGATACTACGCATCCTTTCCATTGAAGGTTTTTGCGTCGGAGGAAGAATTCAATAAGGTCAAAGAATGTTTTCAATAGCACAGCATGACGATTTTTAGCGTTGTATCACAATCAATTCAATTATTGCTGCACCGATCGTTTCTGTCCGAAATCGAAAGTTAAAATGCCTTGGTATTTTGTTTCTGCACAGCACGATACCGCAATTGTAACAAACACCCACGATCACACTGAATTTGTATTTCTGAGATTTCCTTTAGCGCAGTATGATGGATTGATTGATTCGTTATGTGCCACATCGATAGTTGGGTGTTGGAAAACGATATTTGTCTCGAAGCAGAACCTAACTTTTATAGTACTCCGTCCAGTGATGGTCATTCCGTTGATGTAATCCTGCGATGCAGTGAACACATCATTGTTAAAGTATTCTCCCCATACTATGCACCTGCATCACTTGTCTACATTTATCATAGCACATATTAACTGAGCTCTGGTGGTATTGGTAGGCAGCAGAATAATCTATCTACCTATGCAATCTTTTGGTTTTCTGCCAAAGGGTTGAAATAATTATTTTGTGATATTTATCATTGTCACCCCATAGTACTAGTAGTATGAACAGCCTTCCAGAAGTGTTTTATTTTTTTCTTCTATTAGTATACTACTAGTAGTATGAATGGGTCAAAGATTGAACAAATGGACTAAATTGARTAGGATCGGAAGAAATTATTCTTATTAGTAACATCGAAGAAAAGAAGTTGCATTCCAGAAACAAGAACACAGAAAGGCCAGTATTTCCATTGAGATTAGTAGTGCTAGAGCTGGTATACTTACCTGCTGATATGATTTCTTCAAAAACCAAACAAGGTTGTAAAACAAGTTTATGTAGACCAAAGATTTTTTAGTTTTATATTACTTTCTCTTGAACATACTAAAAGGGAGGGGGATTTGGGAAATATTGTCACAAAGCAAATACTTTGAAGCCTGAAGGATTGATAGACAAATTTGAACAGACATATGCAACATCATGTTGATAGACTAAAATATTAGAAGCAGATGCATACAAAATCAACAAAGAGACGATTATACTAGTAGTACTGGTAATACATCTTCTTGAATGGTGATACTAGTAGTAAAATAAAAATCAATTCAAAAAATCTTGTCTGTACTAGGAACAGCATGGTTTACTGAATTAATATTAGGAGTTAACCTTGTTTCCTGCAACTACTAGTAGGATGAGAGTGAGGCACTAGCAAAGCCAGTACCATGTTGTGAAAGACAAGGCTCTAAGTTGCAACTAACTGTTGTTGAAGACAAGACCAAGAAGTGTTGCTACTAGTACCACTACTACTGACCTTTTGGAACTTCTAATTATTCCAAGTTGTACTACATCATGTGAAATGAATGAGTTCATCAATCAAGTGAAATTTTTTGAGGTTTACTGCTAGCAGAACAATGAAGAGCACAAGGGGAAAGACAGAATAATTCTGGGGGGAATATCAGTCAATACTAGAAGTATACTCCTGAGTGACAACAGAGGACTGTGGAAGGAGAGTAGACAATTATCTTCTAGAATTTTTTTCTAAGAAGAAGCTCTTGGTGTATCTTGTTCAGATTCAATCTGAGTTTGGGATCTCAAAAAGTTTCTTGAGGCACTGCAGCAGTGTTGTTAGTGTACTTAATAGTTTGTTGTATCTAATTGTGAAAAGAATTTTTCCTTCTTTTTGGTCTGTATTAGGACTGATTCTTTCTTCAAGTATGGCTATGCTTTGCCTCATTCTGAATGTTTCTTGTTTCTACTTCTGTGGTTGTACTTGCCCCACTCGTAGGAGTACCAGGGGGTGTCATGCCTTTGGTACTGTTGTTGGTTCCTGTCATTAGTAGCTAGTTCTTGTCATTAGCTACTAGTAGTAGTATTTGCTGGTTGTAAGGACTGGTGGCTCTCATATTATTACTGCATCCTCTGTCCTACTAGTAGCAGAAAAAGAAGACTATATTTTTGCAATTTCAATTAATACCTTTTTATATCATACTATTTATATCCTTAAATGTTTCATAAAAAACCCTAACCCCAAATAGCTGAAACTGTTTCCATATTATTATCATTTTTGGGATGCTTCACACTGTTACCTACTACTAGGTATCTGTCAGGAACCAAGAGGATACAGTTGAAAAATTTCTGTTCAAGACCTACCAAGAAAACTGTTTTGGTCACTACTAAATTTTACAGGACTATAGATTTAGTCTATTTTTTCCACTTAATGACTCATGGGAGGATAAAAAGTTCAAGCCAAAGTCATGATGGTCATGACTCAAAAAATAAACCCACATCTTCCATTGTGCATGTGTGTGCAAAACATGACTAGAGGGATTAAACAATAAGCACACCATGTAAATATATTGATACTATTGGTATCCATTACATTAGATGTAAAATAAGAGCCCAAAAACTAGTAACATTTTTTGGCATGTTTTTGTTCCCTGGTTAAACAGCATTCTTCTCTTTGCATCACCTTACTGGTACTAACCTTGGCAAAAAAATTACACATAATCCAAATTTGTAGCCTCTCATAAGTGGTGGCAAGGGTCGTGGAATAGCTCTTTATGCAGGAATGCCTAAATTTTGCTCCAGAGATATTTCACCTGTAGTTGAAYGGTTTCCATCAGCATAACCAGTGCTGATGCTGTATCTTGGTCCCCAATACCCCCTTAGACACCACCAATAACAATTTTTCTTGAACCTTACAACACAACTAGTTTTATTACATGTAATAGCCTAGATACAGTAGTAGTTTCATAGTATCCTCAGGCTACTACGTCACATAATCATCACAAGTACCAGAAAGCTTCTGAAGGAGGTAAGTTAAAAACAAGGTACTCCAAACTACTACCATTTTCATATTTATGTTGTTCCTATCAAAAAAATGTTAATATTATATTTAACCTTGTGAATAGAAATTATATGGCCAGAATCATAACTTCTTGGGAAGAATGCTCATAGCTGCTTCCAGGGGTGGTACCTCCCTCTGAGGAGTGGTTGTGGAGATGCAACCAGGAGGTATGTGTTGTTCCTATCACCACATTGAGGATTATTAGCATTCTTCTTAAATAGCACAGTATTAGTTGACCATAGGTGCTCTCAGTTAGTTTTTGAGGAAGTGCAAGTGGGGGAGAACTTGTGTGGTGTAAAATTTTTTTCCTGTATCATTGAAGTGCAACAAGTTGGTGTAATAAAGTACTGAAATTTTTGTACTTTTCTGGATGTTAGGGTTGGGGTTGGAAGGAGACATACAAAAAGAAACACAGATTAAGAATTTTGTGTGGGTATTATTCTTGGTTGTGTTTCTCTTTGTTTTGAATCTTACCCAAGCAAAAGAGATATTAGTTCCATCGGGGTATGGGCCCCGTATTGTGGTATTAATAATACCAAGAAATTATTTTTTAACCTTGTGAACTACTAGAACAGGCACTATCTGGACCAGAACCAGAACTTCAAGGGAGAAAAATGCTTTTAGTTGTTCTGAGGGGCAGCACCTACCTTTGGTGGAGGCATCATGACAATATGAAGAATACCAAATTGGAGGATTGGATTCTCTTTCTCTAAAAGAAAATATTGTCGTCAGCAGTATTTGGAGCAGTTTTCCATGTTACGAAGGTGGGTATACAAAGAATCTAGTTATGTTGAACCTTGTGAACTAGAAAAAGCCCTAGGATGGCCAGAACCAGGATTTCAGGGGAGAAGAATGCTCCTCGTAGCTGCTCCAAAGGGGGGGGGGGTCCCTCCAAGGAAGCCTCCAAGGAGGGGTTATGGAGGCACAACCAATTAAATACACAGTATTAGGGTTTTTCCTGGTTTAAAAGAATTGAGTCAATGTGGTTTCAAATGTTTAGGAAGAAGTGACAGGAGGAGCCAAAACAATTCTTCAAAACAAAAAATTGCAACCTAGGCAGCAGTACCAAGTAAAGGTCCTAGTAACTTAACAGCTACCATTTTTTTCATTTTCTTATCTCCATTTCTCCTCTCAACCCCCCCCCCCCCCCAACACAAAAAGCCCTAAATATTTTTC